GTTTTATCGGGTAAAGCGAATGATTAGAGGCCTCGGGGGTGAAACACCCTCGACCTATTCTCAAACTTTAAATAGGTAAGATTTCGGGGTTGCTTAAGCGAACCCCGAGGATCAATGAAAGCTCCAAGTGGGCCATTTTTGGTAAGCAGACCTGGCGATGCGGGATGAACTGAAAGTCGAGCTACGGTGCCAAACTGCGCGCTAACCCARACACCACAAAGGGTGTTGATTGATACAGACAGCAGGACGGTGGTCATGGAAGTTGAAATCCGCTAAGGAGTGTGTAACAATTCACCTGCCGAATCAATCAGCCCCGAAAATGGATGGCACTGAAGCGCGCGACCTATGCTCGGYCGTCGCGGCGATTCTGACGCCGCGATGAGGAGGAGGGCGCGGGCCCTGCTGCGAAGCGTGGAGCCTGAGCCTAGGTGAAGTGGGTCCCGTTGCAGATCTTTGTGGTAGTAGCAAATATTCAAATGAGAACTTTGAAGACCGAAGTGGAGAAGGGTTCCATGTGAACAGCGCTTGGACATGGGTCAGTCGGCCCTAAGAGATGTGGAAACCTTGTATCAAGGGCGCACTGCGCGCCGCACATCGAAAGGGGGTCGGGTTAATATTCCCGAACCGGGTTGTGGAGGTGGACGGTAACGTAAGCAGCTCCGGAGATGCCGGCGGGGCCGTGGGGAGGGTTCTCTTTCCTTCTTGACGGCTYGCCCACCCTGGAATCGGATCAACCGGAGATAGGGTGTAGCGCCCGGCAAAGCACCGCGCGTCCTGTGGTGTCCAGCGCGCCCCTGTCCGGCCGGATCAAAATAGGTGTCGACGCCAGAGCGTCCTTGAGGGTCGTGAAGGCCTGCTCTAACTCCGCGTCTTAACTTGGAGGCTGGTCCTTTCGTAACAGGTTCGTTAGTGGTCGTGCAACCGCGGCGAAACCCTTGATGAAACGGCGATAGTACGATGCCAACCCCAAGAAGGCTCGAACCTGTGTCAGCGACGTGGGAACCGGAGCTTCTCTTACCGCCGCGACCTTCCTTGAGTCACGCCGCAATCCTCCACGTGTCACGACGTAGCCCTAAAACGAAATTTCTGAAAGAAAAAATTCGCTCTTTTCGAGCGAGATTTTGAACCCAGCGTCCTTCAGCGCTCCCAGCATCCACTCAATGTGTTGTGCATTCCCATGATAGGTCTCCGAGTCGACGAGGATATCGTCCATATATACGATCACGCAGAAGTTTATCATTCTCTGAGTCAGTCGCATCTTGTTGACGAAGTTATGGAATGTCATGTTCATCGCTCGCTGAAACATGGCAGGCACGTTGAAGGCTGTCTTTGGTCGATCTTCCTCCTTAACCAGAATGTGATGGAAGTCGTGCCGAATATCAAACTTGCTAAAATAATTAGCGCATCCAATCGCATCCAGCAAATCATCAATCCGAGGGAGGGGATACACATCTTTAATCGTGATTTCATTCAACTTGCGATAATCGATGGATATGCGAATTGATCCGTTTTTCTTCGATACTAATACTACGGGAAATGACCATGGTCCGGTGGCGGGTTCGATCCACCCCCTGGCTTCGAATTCCCGAATTCGTTGGAGAGCCTTTTTTCGTTCTATCAGGGAGTATCGGTAAGGCTTGTAATGGATTGGAGAATGATTTCCCGTCTGAATTTCGTGTTGGATAACTAGCGACAAGCCAATGTCCGTATCAGTTACGCTAATCGCTCCGTGATATTCTATCAAAATATCTGCAATCACTCGGTGTATCTCATCAGGTACGTATTGTGGAACGTGTAACTCAAAAGGCTGGTCCCAAATCCATACGTCGATCTGCTTCATGTGTGCTTGCTTCGCCACATTGGGCGGTGGCGCGGAGATGAACGAATGGTCCGATCGCCTGGAGAACACCGTGACCATCATCTGGGCATCTTCCTCCCGGATGGCCACGTGTCCTTCCAGGGTGATCCCATCGCAGATATCTTGCCATGGCACCGTTTTAGTTGCGATCTTTATTCTGAGTTCGCCTGATTCGGCCTCGAGACGCCCAGGGGGTTCCAAAAAACTGGCCTCCGCCCCTAGATGTAACAGTCGTACCTCTTTTGCAGGTGTCAATAGGGACTTTGGTAGATTTGTTATATCCCAATAGTGTTTCTTGTCGTTATATCGGGTGAGGAGAGGGGAGATTCCTTCGTACAGGGTTTGAGGGGGTTTGAAAGAATCGACCATCCTCGAAATTTGTACGAGGGGTTCACCCAAAATCATCGCCTTGGTTCTTTGGATGTTCCGATTAGTTAGACGCATTGTTCTTGCGATCGTTCTGGGCGGGGGGGTAATAAATACGCTGTCGCGCTAGCTTCAAGATTTATGGATCATTTTCGTCACTGCTATCCGCATCCTTTGATGATGGTTCATCGTCTGCGGAGTCTTCCCAGGTAATCATACGAAGAGTCCCTGCCATCATCGGCGAGACTCGCGGGACTGTGTTGATGGTAGTACGAAGAGTCAGTCTCATAGATACAACATAGGGCTTTCCTCCCGTATTTCGGAGGATGATCGACAATCGTTCGAAATCCAGGTTCGTTCGCAATGCTACAAGAGCGGGAAGTCTGAAAAGAACGTAGTAGGTATTTACATCTAGCACCACGACATCTCCCAGTGCGTGCACCTTTCCTAATCGAAAAGCGACGTTGGTCATTTTTCCCACTGTTTTAATCTTTTCTTCGTCCGCCGAAACGAGCTGATCCTTTTGTGTAAGCATGATCAGATCGTTCTTCCTACCTGCCCTCTCAACTACCCTCAGTGAGATAGCCAAAACAACAGCTCCCGAATCAATGATTGCATTGTACGGAATTCCCCATATTTCAATATCGCATTCCGCAGATTTCCACGGGATGGGTTTAATTCGCAAGAAATGGTTATCCTTCTGTATTAGTCCTACCCGTATTGGATCCGTCGTGCCAACCGTGTTTTCCTCTGGCGCGGGGCTTTTCGCCTTTACGTTCGTGGTTCGAGGAGGGCGAATCGTTTTCGGTTCGCCTTACAGTGCTATAGCATCCGGTCATTAGCCTGTTCGGAGATCGAGAGCAGATGGCCAATCGAAAGTGGAATCCGATGATCCAAGGCTCTGATGATGTTCAGCACGTCGATTTTCCCTGTGACGAAGGTGGGTCCTCCCAACTCCATTTTTCCGGGAGAAGGTCGCCACTCCGCCACTTCTTTCTGTTCCGGCTGATCGTTCCAATCATTCCAAGCCCAGGATATCCAAGCGATACATACTGATCTAACGGGATGAGTTCGGCGGCTTCTTTCGTGGTTGCCAACTCACTTCCCCCACCTTCTATTTCTTCCATCAGGGCTCCCACTCGTCCTGGTCCGTTAGCGATAGGAGCTGCGGCCATTGGTGCAACTCCGACCCGTTGTTGAGGGGGTCAGTGGGGGCAATCACGGGCTAGATGCCTTGGTTGGTGGCACGAGTAACAGACATTCAGATTGCTTGCGGCTCCTCCGAGAACAGGCGCCGGGGCCAATCCTTGTTGAATCGGAGGGGCACTCACCACGATGGGCCGCATGTTTCTCATCATGGTTTCCAACAGAGTGTTGTGCTCTCACTGTTCTTTTTTGATTTCCTAGATTAGGCTAATTAACGTCTTGGTTAGTTCGAAGATGGCAGTGGATTCATTTGTTCTTACTGGATTCTCAATTGGTGGCGGGGGGGCCGTTCTTACAGGTGTTGGCATCACAGGAACAGGGACACTCGGAATCTCACTTGGGGTTGGTCATTTAGGGCCCACCTCTTCTAGATAGGTGACTGGGCCAGACACAAATTCCATATTTTTTAACTTGTTCTGTAATGCGGCCAGCTCGGCTCTCGCCCTCGCAAGTTCGGACGAATCTTCTTCCCTAGATTAATCTTCTCCTTCCATGAAGTTCGCCGTGAACTTCCGTTCCATTTCTTTTGCAGCAGTCATAATCTGTTGCAACGTATAGGTGATGGGGGGAAATTGCTTTCGCAACTTCGCCCTTATCGTTCGGCTACGAAGCCCATCAATAAACAAATCTCTCCCGACTTGCTCGCCTCGCTCAGTCTTCATAAACATTCTTTAGAACCGGTTTCGATATTCTGCGACAGACTCGAGAGGTTTTTGCACTCGGTCTTTGATCATGTAAAGTGCTTGCTCTGGATGGATGTAATCAAATCGATTCAGAAAATCTTGTTCGAAGGTCGGAAGATCAATCCATACATAGGTACTAAACCAATGATGAGTGTTTCCTCCTAATCGAGCAGGAATGTTTATTTGTGCTTCCTTATCGTCATACTGTTGTGCTCGAAGTGTGGTCACCATGCTCCTGCGAGGTGATGTGCTGGGTCGAATAGATAAAAATCAGGTGGCGTCATGGGAGGCCACACCCGTGGGGCGTGTGGATTAGGATTTGGTTGATTAACATTCTGTTGCGGATTCGGGTTTTGTACATTAGCAACTATGTTGGCTGCTCGTCGATTAGCCGATCTGCTTCGGGTGATGACGGGGTTGCGTCTATGCGCGTTCCGGGGGCGACGCCGCCCTCGGTTAGCCAGATCGCCCAATTAGCGTGCTATTGATCCTAAGACCCGACCACGTGTCGGGCTCCGATACCAACCTCACGCCCAGCGCGACTTCCTGATCGGAGTGGGTATGGGCCTGGAAGTGCGAAAAGGGGTGTGCCAAGGATTTTTGGGAAAGTGGAGTCCCAGGTCAGAACTGAGATCTCCTGTGGCAGGATCTTTCGGGGGCACGAGTGCAATTTGGCGGAGAGGGCGGACCGCTTCTGGTCACAACCTTGATGGTATGCGTGGGTTGCTTAAGGTCGGGCGAGCCACTGATTCCTAGGATGGTGATTCGTGGGAGGGTCCCTTCGGGGTGGATGGGGTTCCGATGAGTCCGACCGTCGGAAGTTGCCACGTGGTGGCGGTCGTCGCGCGTTCGGGTTAGGGCTCCGGAATTCCGGGGTTCTCTGATCGCCGCGTCGTCGACAATTCCCGCAGGGTGTGCTGGGCCAGTAGGGGGCTATGGTCGGCCACGGGATGATGCTGAGCCGATGATATGGAAGAAGAAGTCGGAAGGGAGGGAAGCTAGTGGAGATAACGACCAATCCGGGGTGGATAAAGTAGTAGGTATGGTCCGGGGAGGGGAAATTAGAGCACCGGGGATCGCTGGTAGTGGCGCTGTGAAATTCCCAAGGGCACAACCGGTTCTCGGTTAGGCAAGGGTAACTTTGTCGAAGGGCTTCGTTTATCGAAGGGGTGAAGTAATCGGGGTCGTATGATGAGTCGAAATTCCAGGATCGCGCCATTGTGTCATTGCGGAGTTATGAGTTGCCTAAGGGCAGATCCGTGGCGATCGCGATCGCCTCGTGCGAGCACGTGCAGGCCACGTGAATTACGCCGGGCTTACACGTGTTCGTGCGGGACGACTGCACCGTCGCGGACCCCGGGATGGCCGCGTCCAATCAGACAGTGCGTCTGTGATCAATGGTGCCTTTGGGATTGACGAATCGACGCCCGGGGATACGTGTAAGTGCGCAACTCAGATCGCGTTTTACACGTGTCCTCGTGCGGCGTTTGCCGAGCCCGGCATCCGATCGTCTAATCACTCCGTGCTATTTTGAGCATGCAAGATGCAACGACCACAATCAGCTCAATCAAAAGACACGAGAAGACAAGGACAATATTACCGATTGCGCAAAATTCATATTCTACTTACGAGTGCATCAGATGCAACAAACAAAAGCAAAGACAAGGATCCGGTAGAAAGATAAGCAATCAAACATGACATCCATACATCCATTCATTCAGCAATCATACACACAGTGCATCAGAGGTGGAAATCGCAAAGACAAGTGTGAGCAAAAAAACAAGTCCAAATTTCGGAAAATAGAGATCGGGCAGATCACTCGGAGCCGAAATCAAAATTTATATACACGAGACAGGAGG